AGGATCTCTTTTTTTATCAACTTGTTTATGATCCAAATCAAAAATCATTAAATGCTGATCGTGGTGAAATTCGTGTCGGAGGAAAATATCAAGCTGATGTACCAACACAACCTTTACATACTGATGGAGTTGAAGAAGGTATATGAAAAAATAAAATTTTAACTTTATGAATATTAATATTCTTCTTTTTTTCTATGATTTTAATTTAGTAAATCTTCCATCAAGAGAAGATTTAATTTGGGATGCAAATGGTGGCTTGACAGAAAAACAAATTGAACAATTTTTAATTGTCGCTCGGTATTCATTTGTACTTTTATTTTTGCGAAAGATGATTTAGAATGAGTGTTGACGTATGCAGGGCAATAATTTAGATCTCCTACAGATTATGACAAATGCTAGACAGAGACCATCATAGAATGTAACAGACGCTAGACAGATACTGTCACAATGCCTTAGCAATGTCCCCTCGCGACACAGACTGTTTATCATTAAAATCTCGCGATAACATATGAAGTATTTTCTTATTGCATTTCTGAAGGTTTAAGTAAAAACGTAGTCTAAAATAGATAGAATAATATGATTTATCTGTGAGCAGCTACATCATGTGTTTCATATATTAATTTCACAAGTATTGTACTAATAGGTCTTGTTCATCAACTTGAAATATTTTTTTTTTAAATATTAAATAGATCAATTGGTACATTTGCACGTGCACTTGATTGTCCAACAGCATTAAAACATCCAAGTCTTCATATGAGTGCAGCATCAGCCTCACGTGATGCTACTTTGGTAATTAAGAAAAAAAAATTTTGATTTGATTTTAATAAATATTTTTTATTTTTAGTTTTTTGCTATGGATACATTACATAAACATCATTATGATTTAGCATTAGCTACGTGTAGTTTAGTACCAAATACAGGTCCAATACTTGTTAAAGATCAAATGGAAGATTGGTCCGCTGCTGAAGCAAATTCATTTGAAGATGCTATTGAAAAATGTGGAAAAGATTTTATTGAAATACAAAAAGAATATGTAAAATCAAAATATCTTTTCATTTGAATAAAATAATATTTATTTCAATATTTAGTTACCATGGAAAAGTTTAAAAGGTATTATTGAATATTACTATATGTGGAAAACAACAGATCGTTATGTTGTACAACGACGTTTAAAATTAGCTGAACAAGAAAATAAACTTAAACAAGTTTTTATACCAAATTAGTTCGTATTAAAATAATTTTATTTTTCTATTAATTATATATTTGATTGATCTGTTTTAGTAATAAAGCTCATCAATGTTTACTTCCACAACGGCCACAAAGTGAAAATAAACCATGTGAATCATGTGGAGGTATGTCGAATTAAAATTTAAATATTTAAAATTTTTAAAAAATATTTTATTTTTAAGCTACTTCATCACCTCAATGGTATCAATGGAATACCACTCAACCACATACACGACTTTGTGCAGAATGTTGGTCTTATTATAAAAAATTAGGTGGATTAAAATATCCGAAAAAGAGTGGTAAGATTTTTAGTAGAATTTTTTTAAACATATTTCGTATGATGATATACATATTTAATTTTTAGGTCCTGATCGACGACAAGGTAAATTTGATTTGAAGACAAAAGAAAAATATATTGAAGCTTTAAATTGTAATATTAATTGTAGAACGAGCAGCAAATATCAATAAATTAGTCAGCTATAAATGTACTGTTACTGGTTGTGGAAAGGTATGTTATTCGTAGTACCACGTGGGGCACCTTCGAAAATCCTAAATTCTGTACTGACTTGAAAGTATTGTTAACAGTTTCATGACCAATAGAACATTTATACTAGAGTATCGAATAGAATAAACTAAAATGCCTATAAAGCCATCATCTTCTTTCGAAAAACAATACGACTACCTCAGTTCTATAAGAGCTAAAAGCTAATTAGGAAAGTTCTTATTTGCTATACAACAAGCAGAATGCACTGCAGTAGTTACTGATGTACGAAAAGAATTTAAACAAGATATCTTAACCTGCCTAACGTTGTGATATTGTCAAACTTCCTAATGTTTTATAAGACGCTAATCACAATAATGAATTATTGAGTTTTGTTCGTACACTCACTCTGTGCTGTTCCATAACATAAGTCTCGGCTTGTCTCAAAATTTGTGATTCTGGTTTGTCATCGAAAGCGTTCAAATTTCTACTTTCTTCGTGACATCAAAAATCATTTATTCAGTCTTTCGTTACACTGTGGGATCTAAGAACTCCGTCGCCTATGGATCAAGATGTTTCAAAAAAAATATATAGTCGTATCAATGCATTATCTAACATCTGGCTAAATATAAGACAATTCTTCTTCAAAGAGTTTTCGCTTATGAAATATAACTTCAGAATGTATATTATCACTAAACCAAAAATTAGATAGAGGATTACCATCCGATTTCTGAGTAATTCATCTTCTCATATGCGCTAATATACTTTGATAGATTATTCATGAGAAATATTTTATTAAAAGAGATAATAAGTACACTTAGTATTCTTCCGTAACATCTGAAACTTGATGCTATGAGTCTTAACAATAACAAAAAGAAATTGTTTTTTATTTTTTTTTTCAGGAATGTAAAAATAAATCTGCTCTTCAACGTCATTATGCCATTGGACATGGAATAATGTTTCGATCGGGTAGTCCACGACCATTATCAAAACCACGTAATACATTTGCATTATATACAACACCATTATCACGTGTTGTTCGTCCATTATGTCCAATTCGACGTCTTGCACGTCGTCCAACGCATAGTATTGATATAAGTGATATACGTGGTAAATGGGAAACACATATTAATGAAAAACCTAGAGAAGATATTCGTAATACATGTACACGTTTTCGTGAATTATATGAAAAAGGAAAAGAACGTTATAAAGTGGTTTATTTAAATGATTTATTTCCATTTAAAAATGAAAATGAGGAATTAAAAACATTTGATGATTTTATGCCAAAATTTGAAGAAAAAATATTCAATGAAAATGAAACTAATTTACCAATACGTTATCCAAAATTACAAGAAGATTCAAGTGAATTCTATACACAATTTACTCATAGTAATTTGAGTATTATGAAAAAACGACCTTATGAATCTAATGAAAGTTCAAATGAAGGTAATTAAAATAACTATTTAAAAACATAAAGTAAAAAAAAAATTATTTTATTTTTTTTTTTAGGTCCGTCACCAAAACGAACATTAATTAGTCGACAAAATTTAATCAAAACAAAATCACCGGTAAAGATTTCTTTTCCTGTTTTATTTTTATGGATATTTAATGAAAAATAGAAAGATAATTGAATATTTTCTCATATTCTTTCAACCTTGAAAAAAAACTCATCTAATCATAGGAAATATGCAGAAAATGAGAAAAAAAGACAAAATAAACAAATGAAGAACGATTATACAATCAACAGTTCGTTTTTTTTTTCTAGATATCTTATTGACGTATAATATCATTACGGTCATAAGAGGTCGTTCTTTTTTTCTCTCAAGGATTAATAATTAGTTATTTGATTCAAAATATCCAATATGAATCATCAAGAAAATGAATAAATAAGATATAATGAATAACATAATCCTTCATTATAACAAAAGAATATGTGTTAACTAAATCAATATTAAATAGTTATGATTTCAATTTATCTTTTTGTTTTTAGAGTACAGTTAAATTATCTCGATCACGTGCTTACACTGTACCATTTATTGATCGTAAGTTTAAATTATTATTTCATATTGTTTTTATTTATATATATATATTCGTTTAGCTCCTGATGGTATTTATTTACGCGTAACAAAAGATATCAAGTAAGATTTTCTTATTTCATTTAATGATATCTAAGTTTTTTTTTTCTATTTTAGACGTTTACGAAAAGAAATTCCTCAAAAAGAAATTCGTCGTATTGCACGTGCACCCTGGAAAAAGCTTAATACAAATTTTGTTTCGTACATTGATGATGATATTGTTATACTTGATTAAATCAATGTGCGTATTTTTTTGTATATAATCATATTCAATATTTCTCATTTGAATTCGATTGTTCAATTAAAATCAAGAAAAGAAATTTAAAAAAAAGAAAAAGAAAATCTATTCAAGAACAATCTTTTCATAAAGAAAAAGAAATTTAAAGCAATTTTTGTTGTAGCTGTTATGACTGACTTGTGTGTGTGTATGCTTGTGTGTCTGTCGTTCTCTCTCGTTCTTGTTTTTTTTTTCTTTTTTCATTGATATCAGACGTAAAATGTGTACGTGAAGATAAACTACAAGTTCATTCATCTTCTCTTCTATTTCTTTGTTATTATTCATTTAAAAATTTTTGTGCTCTTTTTTTTTGTCCAAAACATCTTTCGGAAATAAAAAATACAATTCATTTTGTCTTTTTTTTTTCTTTCAAAATTTCATATCGATGTGTGAGTGATTACTTTGAGTGAACATTTAAGGTATGTGTCAAGTGAGAAATAATGAGTAATAGTTGCTTCTTTTATTATCCATTATATGAACATAGTTCAAAGTAGAAGAATAGAAAAAAAAAAAGAATAAATTATTACAAATAGAGCGATGAATCCGATGAATGTTCAAAAAAATGTTTTACGTCAATGCCATTAATATTACTCTGAGGTGAGAATTAACCTTTTTGAATGAGAAAAGAGAATTGATTTGAAATATAGAATTTTCTTTTTTTATTTGAGAAAAAAAGATTATTTTATTACGTTGAATAAGAGAGATGACCGATTTATGACTTTATTGAGATCGAGGGTACTTTATATATTGATTATAATTTTTACATTGTCATGTTCGTGCTGTAATGATGTCGGACACAAGTACCAATGTAGACACGAATCGATTAGAAACGATCGTGCGTAGGAAAGATAGATAATGATCAATCTCGATCTTTTTTTTTTTCTAGATGATCCTTTTTTCTCTCTTTTATCGTCTTATTATAAAACACTGATTTTCTTCAATGTCTCAGAACACTGATCACTATCCATTGGCTACTTCGGCTTCATCAGCATCTCCAAACAATAATAATAATAAACGACTTCTATCCCATCCACACTTTCTTCCGACCACATTAGACTTCAATACACCTTCATCAATAGTGAGCAGCATTCAAAATGATTCGCCATCATCGCAATCTCATACGGTAAGATATATAAGACAGAATAAATGAAGGAGGAAAAGAAAAAAAATTTGCATAACAGTCTTTCTTTCTTTACCTCCTCTCAATAAGTAACGATCGTATAAAAGAACGAATGAAACAAAGCGAACTATGTATTTTGCTTCGCCTTTTTTTTTTATTCATCTTTGTTTTTATTAGTCGCCCGTTGTCAGTGATGTTTGCACTAGTAGCAAAAATGGTGTCCGAAACCCATCGGCAATGATGAAAACTAAGGATGGTAATTCACCCAATGGTGTACGTAAACATTTAAATTACGATAAGAAAAAAACATAGAACGTATTCTCTTACTTTTTAGAACCATATAAGCGACAAATATGCATACACTCTAGGTAAGAACAAAATGGTGTAAACGGCTTACTGTCCATTGATTACATAAAAGATTTATTTCAATTAGCTGTTTTCTTGTGTGAGGATAAATATCAATACGAATTTTTTCATAATGTTGCTGCAATTTTATTAAACATTCTTTTATTATAACTTTACATTTCTGATTTGCTGGAATTGCAGAGTCTCCATGTCATTTCGTATTCTAGCAATCGATGCGAATAATTGTTCTTCTTGCAGTAAAACAAACATCATGTAAATGTTTGGATATCAAGAGTTTACATTTTTTCTTCAATACGAGAATGTTGATCTTCCCAGTAATTAATAATACGTGACATTTATGCTACGTTTGGAAAATTTATCGAAATATCTGTTTTGACAATCTATTGATTGCCGCAAATGCCTACACAGTTGTTTATTTCTCTTCTTGGAAATAAGCAATGGAAAGTAAATCCTCATACAAGAAAAGAAATACTGATTGGAATAATTTTTTTATGTAATCAACACACAGTAAATAGTGCATATAGAAAAAAAAGAAACCTTTTTTTTTTCACATCATTTATTACACCATTGATTTCTTTCAGCCTTCACACCACCGGTGGCTAAAACTAAAAAAGACCATAATCGTAATTTAAAATCAGTAAGATTAAAACAAAGGAAAAAAATGATGTTTTTATTTTATCGTTGATGAATTTTCTTTTAGCAATTCTATACATATGAAATGGCAGGAAATGATAATGAAGACCTTCATTCCCCGTTTGAATTAGGTAATAATAAAAAAATTTAATTCTCTTGTTTTATACAGTAAAAAAAAGAAACTTCAATTATTTCACTTATTAGATGTTCCACTTTGTGAGAATCAATCATTAAAAAAAATTCAAAATGATTTTCTTATCGATCGAATGTTAAAAGACGATAGTAACTCAAATTTCACTTTACAAAATCGATCTTCTAATCAACAATCTTATACAAATGTTCTCAATCATTCATCACCTCTTCTAACACCCTCATCTGATCATCATGATATAGATGCATTAAGTGATGCAGGTACATATATTATTGAAGATGATGTTGATATTGCACATGATGATGAACCTGAACAAGATATTGAACAACAAAATGATACACAAGAAAAATCTTCACCACCATCAACATCATCTTCATTTAAACGATATGCAGGAACAAAAAGGAATCGTCATGGAACATTCGATATTCATGGTACATCATCAAAAACAACACATACTGTCAATCGTCCCATTGTTGATTTAAATGTTCCAACACATGATTTATCACTACCGTCATCATCATCATCATCATCATCGCCGTCGGCTAATTCATCCTCTTCTTCATCTCTTCTTTCATTACCAACAGAAAGTGATAATAGTATACGCAAAGAACCTGAAGGTGCCTCTCATCAAATTATAATTGATGATAAGTCTTCCACTGGTTTAGTTTATGCAAGACAACGACCAAGTACTCTTTTACAACAACAACAATCACCACGTTCCATAACTCCACCACAAAATCCAATAAAACCAGCTGAATGTTTTGGTAGGAAAAAAAATTTATGAAGAAAATTTAATTTTTACTTTTATTTTCTTTTATTTGATATTTTTTCTTTAAGTTATTTCACCAACATTTGAAGCAAAACCTTTTCCGAATACAACAATAACTGCTCCAAGACGAAAACCTGACATTCAATCGAAGTTAGTTTTTAATTAAACATGTATAATTCTTAACTTACTCTAATTTAGGCCAAAACCAACAACATCTGTTATTCCAACTAAAGATATAAATTTTGAAGTTCCATCAAAAAATTCTCCAACATCACCACCACTTTCAGCTCGTTCAAATCAAAGTGATACAGAAAAATTTTCATTTCGTCTTCAACAGCAACAGCAGCAACAACAACAACAACCTATACGTCATCACGATTCTAAACAACAATCATCCTCATCAAATTTAAAATCTTCACTTCATACTTCTGATTATATATCATCTTCATCTAAACAATCTGTTCGACCACATACTATAGTTAGTGATCAAACACATCCATCACCATTTCAACGTAATTCATCTGTACGTCAAACAATGCCAGCTAATACACAATATAATCGACCATTATCTTCGTCAACAATAACAACCGCAACTAAATATGTCGATGATAACGAAGAAGTTTTATCATCACATCCAAGTTTAACTAAAGTTTATATGAATAAATCATTTGCATTACGTCAACAACGTTCCACTCTTATACCACCAACCTCTAAATCAGTACAACAACAACAACAAACAATACCAAAACCATTACCGACACGTCAAATAATAAAACCAACAACATCTATTCCATCAACATCATTATCAATAAATAATTCGAGTGGACAAACAAATCGTGCTGTTGAATTACGTCGTGCACGTGCACAAGCAAAAATTGAAGAATTAGCACAACGTACAAGACAACAATTACAAAAAACTGAACGACCTAATGATTTAATGAGTGCATCATGGCATAGTAATGCAAGTAGTACAAGTAAAAAAGATATTTCACAATTACGAGTAAATCCTCGATCAATTAATAATAATAATAATATTTCAACGCAAAAACAAGATTTACTAAAAACAAGAACAATATCATCAACATCACATCATCGATCATCATCAGCAAGTCCAAATCCATTAGGAGAACCAACAACAAAAACATCGAAATATCGAAAACCAATGGTATCAAGTGTTACTAGTGAATCACAATATCAAAAAATGAATGGAAGTTGTTACAGTGAAGGAGTAAGTGAATTAGTTTATATTGAAATATATTATTTTATTTTTTAGGAACGATGTGATTCATTGCGTGATGATGGACAAAGATTAGCAATTAAATTAATACAACTTTCATCTGGAATATTAGCAAAATTGAAGTAAAAAAAAAATATACATATAAATTAATTTTCATTGTTTTATACCGACAAATTTTAGACCGAATAATACTGCAGGTGATACTGATTCGAGTGTGCGGGAATTAGAACAGCTTGTTAATCAATTACAAACGGTTAATCGAACATTAAGCAGTAAGTATTTTGATTTTTGACTTGAAGATTACTTAAATATAATCAAGTGTGTAATAAAATGAGAATCAGACATGCATCAAATCCTAACATTCAGGCTCCGATTTTACTGCAATCATTTTCAGTCAATTAATAAAAGAAAGTAGAAATGAACCAAAAGAGATAATTTCAGGCTTGGCTACCGTAGATCTACGTACAGTGAAATAACGAATGCAAAAAAAAACCGACGGTCTACAGGCATACTAAAAGAAAAGTCAACAATGTTCAGAACTACTAGAACTTAATCGAACCATACTACCAACGACAAAGTGCTTGCTAATCGTATTTTTGACGAATACTTCCATAAGTACTCGATCGCAAAAAACATGAGATTCTCAAAAGTTTTTTTTTGTCTGTAGAACTTGTGGTGCTAATCATTTTGATAAACAAAGTGTTCAAATTTACAAAATAAACGACAATGCTAGAGTCAAAATATATTTTAATCAAAATGACCAGCGCCACGAGCGCCACAAATTTCTATAGGCAAAAACAATCTTCTGAGAATGTTGTGCTTTTTGCGGTTGACTATCTGTGGAAGTATCCATCAATAATATGATTCGCAAGCATTTTGTTGGTAGCTACGGGGCTTCCATGATTACTAATGTATCTCAAGAAACGCTTAGGCAATTACCAAAATACTTCAATCTATCTGAGCTATTTGGATAGTTTTCGAATTCGAATACCGAGCCAGAGTTCGGATTCAGTTCAATTTATGACTAATGAGAATAGAATTTTTCTTTGTAAGTAATTCTGGACTATATCAACTGACATATGGTGTTTTCCATGCAAAACTATATTTTTAAAGAATTCATATTTTATTAGTTACGTATCATTTAAATTTAAATATTCGAGAAAACAGCAGCAAGAAGTAATAAGCTTAGTTAATCGTCTTTCCTAAACATGTAAACAAAAGTATTTTGTTCCAAATAGAATGACAATTTAAGACATCATACTAAATGAAAACTTCTTAGAGCTTGATATGGTGATTGTATTTTACAATCATAAGTCCAAACGTAAAGCTTAATTATATTTAATTAAATATGATTTCCATTTTCTTTTGTTCATTACGGTTGTATACTCTTCAAAAAAAAATCGTATTCTTGCAAGTCAACTGAACTAGGTTTCCGGATCAATCTCGGAAATCTTTAAAAAGTTTTTCGAAGAAGAAAAATAGATTTCCAAACTTCGGAAACTCTTAAAGCGTTTCTGATAGTAACAAAACCGGAAACCCTTCCGGGTTTCCGATTGTCGGCAACCGATCACTTTTTTTCGGAAATCCTAATGGGTTTCCGATTTTGTTACTAACGGAAACGCTTTCAGAGTTTCCGAAGTTTGAAAATCTATTTTTCATGCTCATAAAAATCTTTTAAAGGTTTTCAAGACTACGATTTATTTTTAGAGAGTACAAAGTTAAAAAACGAAAGATTCATTGATACATTGATTTCCGAGTGCAGCTCGTAAATGTTCCAAACTGTCACTGATTCATAGAGGAAAATATACAAATCAATGTTATAATAAATTAATTTCTTTTCATTTCTTTTTTAGACATCGATGCTTCATTGACCGGTTCGACCAGTGACGAAACTCTAATGTAATTTCTCTTCTTTGCCTCAAATGGCGGATTATCTTTTTTTTCTTATTTTCTTTTTTGACGTTATACTGAAGAAGAAATCTTTTCTTTGTCTTATTTCTACAGTGCTGATTAAACTCATCTAATTAATTTATTTTATTATTTTTATCGTTCACCTGTCTGGTTTGCTTGTCTTTTTTCTATTTAAGTCAACAACTACAACAAAAAACAAAAGAAAATTTTATTTGTGTTTTTGTGTATATATGTGAAAAAAAATAACTGTTTGTGACAACTTTGCGTTCTTCCATGGAAAGAAAGATAACAACTAGTGTTTATCAAAATAAAATTTTAAAGAAAAACAAAGTTATATATTCTTTAATTTCTTATAGATACAAGAAAAAATCATATTAGAAAAAGCATAGAAAAAAATAAGACTTCAGATCATGCGCCGATATTGGCGCTTCATATTAAAGTGGCTGCTTTTCATAGGAACATTAACAATATCTTTTAAATTAATCTGTGATAGTTTAGTTGACATTTTCTTATTATTACCACATTCTTCAATAGTAGATATGGCGGAGAAAAATGCAGATTCTAATTATGAACAATCTTTACTTGCTTGGACAGCAGCTGGTCAACTTTTAAAAAGTAAAAAATTATCCATGGGAAATATTGAAAAAAGAGACGATTTACAATGGATAGGCGCACAAATTTTTTTCCGACATGGAGCTCGAACTCCACTGCATTTATTACCTAGTCTTGAAGAGGTATATTACAAAAAAAAATGAAACAATTTCGATTTTACGTTAAATCATTTTTGTTTTCCTTTCAGGTTATTTATAGCAAAGAACAAATAGAAAGTTATCTTCCATCAAAATGGGATATAAAATTAATTACAAAAAAAGGAAATGATATTGTATCAAAAGATAAAGTATTATCAGCAAGTGAAGTTGCTGGAAATAAAAGTCAAAAATTAAAAGTAAATAGAAACATATATTTGAAAAGTGAATAACTACTTTTAATTTTTTTTAGTCAGCGTCTGGTGAAAATGTAAAAACAGGTCAATTGACAGCTGTTGGAGAAAAACAATTATTTGAACTTGGAAGATTTATAAGATCTCAATTAATTAATGATAGTAATTATGATCAGGGGCTTTTACCAGCAACATATGATTCAAAATATGTCTAGTAAGTTCTGTAGAGTAATTTTACTTAATGTTGATTCTAAAGTTTCTTTTTCAAAAATCTAACAACTAGAATAGAGAATAGATACAAGATATTTTTTGAAATAAAAAAAAAACATTGATAATATCCGTTCTATGTCAATAGAATGACACCAAGATCATTGATTAGAAGTTTTGAACGAGAAATCTTAAAGTATGTTTCTTTTGACTGTATGATTACTTTTTGTTTCCTTTATGTGAACATCCTTACTTATGGTTTCTTTCTTATGGCCTGTAAGAAGTGAAGTCCCTGAATTATAATTAGTTTGCAGTGCAAAATGTACTATTTCAAGACAATTAATGTAATGCATATAATGCATTGTTGAGAGAGAGATGACAGACAGGTTTTTTTCATATTAGATTTATTATTCCTGAAGGTCAACTCAAGATATAGTAGTGATATACATCAGTTATTTCGTTGAATAAACGTTAATGAAGAAAAATCAGAGACAACAAAGAATAGATACAGTATAATGACGTACATAGATATATACGACTGTTTACGACCTTGAATATATTACCTTTTGTGATCATCATGATCAATATTTTATCAGATGAAAAATAGATACAATGACTATCAAAAAAATATCTAACTGACAGAAAATTTGATTCTACTTTGTGTATATCTCAAAAATTAGATGAACTATAATGATCTGGTTTCCATCAAGTTATATAGCCCATAGTCTCTAGTATATTAGAAAAAAAATTTCAGATCAATTCATGGATCTATTTAGTTTTTATTGATCATATAACCACAGCGTGTCGCTTTTTCATTCTTTCCAAGTTATCAAACCACTTATTTTTGAAAATGGTTGCCAGCGTATTCGAAATTGAAATTTTCTTTATAATACATTCGTCAATAAAATAAATTTTGCTCTACATAAGAAGTACCTTTTCTTGTGATTTTTCTTTGAGTATGAGTTTAAAAACAAACTTTTTGTTTTCACCTATACCGGAAGTTTTCAACAAAAGGAACACAAAAGATATGTTTTTTCATATGATGTTTCATTTGATATATCCTTGTTTGATTAGATGTACACCCAGTCAGTTGCTCGGCTACCGTAAGATTTTTACTCTATTGAAACAATTTTTTATAAACTCTTTCAATATAGGAATGAGACTGTACAAGAAAATCTATCTTTGATTGTTGTATGCATAGGAGACGATCAACATAAGTTTTCAACATGAAACATCTTTCAAATACGATATTTCATCCAATTTATGGTACTCTTGATATTGATTTATTGAACAATAAAACTGGTTAAACATCATGTGAAAAAAATGTCTTTTATCTTCCTTTTTGTTGAAAATTTCCGGCATAGGCGAAAAAAAGAAATATCTGGTTTTAAACTCATACTCAAAGGAAAATCACGAGAAAAAGTACTTCTTATGTAGAACAAAAATTATTTTATTGACGCATGTATTATAAAAAAAAAACTTCAACTTAGAACACGCGGGTAATCGTCGTGAAAAATAAATAGATGGATAATTTGGAAAGAATGAAAAAACTGCATGTTACGACTGTATCGTCAATGAGCCTTCTCAATCGTTTAACTGCGACGGTCGAAAAACGACGACAAATTTTTCATAAAGATTTCGCTGATATTTCAAATATGTTGTAGAGTTTTTCACAAAACTCTGAGTTATTCAATATATCTCTCAGAATTTTAGAAGAAACATATACGAGAAAAGTTTTGAAGTAAAAAAGTGAAAAAATCTTTTTTGACAGCATTACATCATTGTTCTTTGTCTAAGGTTTCTACTCTTCAATTTAATCATCATATAATCTTGTTCAAAATTAAATTCTACATTCGGTGGTATGAGAACAAACGTATAATAGAGAAAGTTTGGCTTTGAAAAAGATGTTTTTTTCACAATGCGTTCTAAAACACCACTAGGTGTTACTTCAAAACCTTTTCCTTCTGAACAACAGCAATAGAGAGCATAAAACTCTCTTTCCATTAACGCCAAATAGCTTACTCCGAGAGTTGATTTTGATGAGCAAAAGCTTCCAAAAATCGACAGATACCTGCAGAAAATTAGAAATCACACTGAGACGATTCAGTAGGTGTTCATATTTTAAATATTGCGCCATCAAAAACAGTTATCTGAAAAACAAAGACGTTATTTTTGTAAAGCAGAAATCTCTCAACCGAATGAACCTAAAACGAATTCGCTAATGTGTTGAGAAGTATCCTAAGCAGAGGAAAATATTTCAGTTTGTTTTATGATATCTTTGTTATGAACTATAAGCCGTTATATTTATTTTTTATAGTTGTCGATCAACATATATGGACCGAACAATAGCTAGTGCTCGATCATTTCTTGCTGGACTTTTCTCATCTGTTAAAACAGATAATAAAATACAAACTAATGGTAAATAGCACATAATAAATGTATAGTTTATGTTCAAAATGTAATTCTCATTAAAAGGTCCATTTGAAATTGAAGTTCAACATTTTCCCGATGAAGATTTGGTAAATATTCATGAATATTAAATCATATTGATCGATTTAAGTATTTGTTTTTTTTTTTTTGGTAGTTTCCTAATCCAAATATTTATCCAATTCTTGAAAATTGTCATAGTGTTAAATCACTTTATACGTCATTAAATGATGATCATGAATTGAAAAAAGCTCGACAAGCTTTAATTAATCGTATTGGTAAGAAATTTTCGATTTCGATTTAATCTTTTTACATGATATAATTTAATCATCAGGTGTCACTGAATATCCACATGGTATTATTGAATTGTACGATGATATTGTTTCGCGACAAGTAAGTTTTTTTGTCTTACAAATGAAATGAGTTTTTCTTTTGTTAATCTTCGTATTATAATAGGCTCATAATTTTCCTGTACCACAAGATATTCTCGAATTGGCAAAAGACTTTGAAATCATGTCTGCACGAGAATATGTCTATAGAGCGTAAATATATTTATAAAAGAATTAAAGCAATCTAAAGATTTTTTATTTGTTTCTAAGTACAAATATTGGTTATGATTTATTTATACGTTCAAGTTGTGGACCAATTCTTTATCTAATAAGAGAAAATTTTGATTCTATATTAAAAAATTATCTTGAAGAAGAAAATAATAATATAAAAAAGTATAAATCTACATTTTATTTGTTTTATTGAAGAAATTTTTTTAAATATTTTAGACCTTATCATAAGTTTTTTATTTATTCTGGTCATGATAGTACATTAATTCCATTAGCAATGGCATTCGAAGTATATGAATTTATTGTAATTTTTAATAATTTAATATTTTACTTATAGATTTTTGATATGCAATGGCCCAAATATGCTTCACATATTTTAATAAAATATTTTATTTCCAAAATTAATCCAAATGAAACATATGTGGTAGTTATTTTTGATGGCGAAGTAAGTTAATGATTAGTTATTATTTATTTATATAATTATATTTTGATATTTTTAGCCACAAATATTACCAGATTGTCAAGATTATTATTGTTCCTATTCAACATTCCTAAAAAATCTTCAAAATCGTTTTGATAAACCTAAAAACTCATCTCAAACTTAATCTTGCTTTTATAGACATTTTTAGAATCTCTTAGGATCATTAAATGTTATTTTTTTTTTCTGTAACGAACTGAAATTGCTTTTTGTTTGTTAATGACGTATTCGTTTTTTTTTTTTGCAATATCATAATATATACTTATTGAAAATGAAAGAATATTTTATTCAAGATTATTATTATTTTTTTTTTTTGAAAGCACCATATTTATGACTGATTTGATTGAAACAGAAATTAATCATGCAGGTTTTATTGCAGTTCATGTTGGTAGGTTAAGTGCAAAGTACATTGAATGGAGAAAACAGATGTCTTTTTTTTGTCTTAGGTGCTGGTCTTCAATCTCAAGCACGACTACCGAGATATGCCGAAACGATAAAAAGAGCTTGTTTACAAGGAATAAAAGTATTAAATAATGGAAAAAATGCATCTGAAGCAGCATGTATTGCTGTTGCTGTACTTGAAGTAATTTTTAAAGTTGTATTTACTGAATAAACATTTTTTGACTTATCAGGATTGTCCATTAACAAATGCTGGTGTTGGTTCAAATTTAACTTTAGATGGAAATGTTGAATGTGATGCATCAATTATGGATGAAGAGAGTTATGGTGCAATAGGAGCTGTTTCAGGTAATTGAATTCTATATTTGACTAGTTTGTTATATATGATTGCCCAAATGTTTTTTTTTTATTTGAAGATATAAAAAATCCAATAACATTAGCATGGGCTTTATTACATACACAAAAACAAGGCCTTTTGGATGGTGGTCGAATACCACCATGGTAAATAAAGAAAAAAAAAGAAGTTTTATTAAATTGATTTAACTATTCGATCGATCGAATAGATAAAAAGTTAAAAATCACTTTACTAAAAGGCTAATTGATACTTAACATTTCTTAAATCTAACATAATTGACCAATTTTTCTCCCTTCAAACGATAACACAAACCATTTTATTACTACACAAATGAAGAAGTTTTGCAATGAACTAAGCATCATTTGAGATCTTTTCTTACATCGCTGAAACTAGTAGATTTTTTTGTAAAAAAGAAAGGTATTATCAAAATCCCTGTAAGATTAAAATGTGAAATATGATATATTTGCTATTCGCATCCTCAAGAAGAAAATAGTCACGATCTGTAGTGGATGAGGGATTAAGTCTCAACTTTTATCTCTATACTTCAATATTCATTTTAGATCATGTTACACAAAAAGTTTTGATAATTCATAAGAGAATTCACTTGAAAACGATAATTTTCTAACTGAGACTTTTCAAGCAAACCAAAAGATTTTTTTTCATATAAAATATTTTAATTTTTTTTTCTTTAAGCTTAAATAAAAAAATAATTTTCGATTGAAAACTCTTCGGTCACTACTGACTTTATTCATATTCGATATATTCTACAAAATGTCTAATAATAAATATTTTTGAAATAGTTTCCTCGTTGGTGATGGTGCCAAACAATGGGCACAACAAAACGGTCTTCAATTAATTGATAACCAACAAATGAAGACAGGTTTTATTTTTTTCAATTAAACTTCGTATATATATTTATTCTTTTTTTTCTTTAGAAAATAGTACTTCTATGTTTGAAAAATACAAAAGAAAATTAGATGAAAATACATCAGAATCAACTAAAAAGATGAAAACGGTATTAAACTAATATTGATCTTAAAGCCTTGTTGTTGTTTTTTTTGTAGGATGATTCGGATGAAACTAAACGATTAGATACAGTTGGTGCTATTGTTATTGATCGAAATGGAAATGTAGCAGCAGCTGCATCAAGTGGTGGAATACTTTTAAAACATTCTGGTCGTGTAGGACATTCAGCTATGTAAGAAAAGACAAAATTTTAAATGAAAAAACGTTTTGTTTTTCTTTCATAAAGGTTCGGTTGTGGTTGTTGGGCAGAACGAAAAGATTCATGCTCAATAGCAGTTGCATCTTCAGGTTTCTTTTTTAAAAATCTATTTGAACTCGATTGCTTTAAATTGATTTTATTTTCAATTAGGTACTGGCGAATTTCTTATGAAAAGTCTCTTCTCTAAATCAATTAGCGATACTTGTACCAATGATGATCTCACACCAGAAACAGTACGAAATCATATAAATAATATTTTTCTTAGTAAGATATATATATTTTAACATTAATAAATTAATAAACTAATCAATATTTTAGATCGACGAATGACACCAACTAATGCTGAAAAGTATTTTGGATTTATTCTATTAAAATTAATTACAAATGAAAATCAAAATAGATTAGTAGAATTTCTTTGTGCACATAATACTCAAACAATGTTTGTTGGTTATATGACGACACATCAAAGCAAAGCCACAGTAAATTTTTACAAAACATTTCATTCCTATTTTTTGTGGAATTCACATATATTTTCAAACAAAATATTGAGTGTAAGTTTAAATCGAGATTTTTGGCTTCCCCTATATTCTACAAACTGAGGGTGGGAGGAGAAAAGTCCAACATCATCAGGTATGTTGACATTACAACGACACGATGAGGGGGAGCAGAAAGGTCAACAGGGATTGGACACGTTTTTCTTGTAAGTGGGGGGAAGTCAAAGAGTATTGGGTATGTTTTCTTAACAACGAGAAAAGGTGTGTTAGTCATAACAATGCTAAGATTATTGCGAAACTTCCTAAAAATCTTCCAAAGCATTCTATGAATCTAAAATTTCTACTGTAAATTCTAACTAATCTAAATATTGCGAGTTGTGGTATTTAATGCAGCGAAAAGAGCTTATTGAAAGTGTCAGTTATTAATCTAGTAGAGTTAGAATAGGACCGACAAAAATAAGTATGAATTAATGGAATTCTAAGTTTAGACAAAACTCAACAATGTATGCCAAAATTCATCGACAGAAACGATGATGTAAGCGGAATCTTACTGAACGATAAAATCAATGTGTATAACAGGCTAATATGGGCGTTGAAACAACTAAACGAAGAATACAATAATATGTCCGCTTCCAATGGCATATATCGTACATATTCTCATTAGAGTAATTGAAGCTATGCATTGGAGATATATTTAACAATATAAATAAGCTCTTTTCAGTATAACGATATTAAATAAATAGTTCTAAATGCAAACATTTTTTGACATGATAAAAATTCAGAATGCGAGTATCAATTATAGACAGAGTTTGTGAGTTCTACACATTTGCCTCCAATGAAGATACATTGACAAGTTTTTTTTCTATTGTTTCTCTTTTTTTTTTCTAGCCTCTATTTTCGGAATTACATGCTGGTGATTCATTATCAATCAATATCGATTCAATTCGTTTAACATAAAAATTTTTATTTTCTTTCTTGTAAATCAAATTTTTTTTTTTGTTAAATTTATTTCCTTCTCGTTTTCTTCTAATGTTCAACAATATAAAAGATATTAATCATTCAAATGTTGCTAACAAAGAAGAAAAATAAACTTGATTGAAGAGAAAAAAAAAAAGAAGAGTGTAACGTGACAAAAAAGTGATGATAACAACAATAAATCGATGTTAATTCAGCTGCTTTTGTTCACTAGATAAAAAATAAAAATAAGAATTTAAGAAAAAGAAAAAAACATTCTAACTTACATATTTTTCTTCTCGAAGGCCATCTTTGAAATAGATAAATACTGGTGTTAAACCATCTTCACGATAATATTGAAGTACAACCATACCATCAATATTCATATTTTCACCAAGATAGAAACGGTATTCATCAAATTTAGTGAGAATTTCTTTGGCTAATTTTGTCATACCTGTTTGAAAAGGTTGTACACGATCAGGTGCATTTGTTTGAAGATGATCTTTAAGTCTAATATAAAACAAAAATAAAATATAAATCAAATGAAATTGTTTTACTTTTTTGAATATGTTTTTAACCAATCTTTGAAACTAGTTTTATCAAATGGTGTTTCAACTAATTTATGAGTTAAAACAACATTAATACCAGTGATTGCTGATGATGCAATACCACCATCATCTTCCACTGCTTCACTACCTTCTGGTGCTTTATTACCACCAATTAATGAATCATCAATATCATTACTTTCAATGATGTTCTAAAAATTGCTTAATGAAATAATCTTTTGTTTTCTTTCTTTAAATAAATTTCTTACTTTGCCTTCAACTTCATAATAAACATCATCAACTACTTTCATTGGATATGAATCGCTACATAATTCATCACCAGTAAATACATCAATAAAGACTTTCATGATTGTTGTTGATGTGAATAAATTAAATTAAACAGCAGCTATATTTTCTACAAACAAACAAAAAAAAAGGTCGAAATCTTGCATAAAAGATAAGAAATAAATAAATGTATGATAGCAAATGCACAAAAGAAATAGTGAATGACTCATGATAACATAGACTTATATATGAACGAGACAGAATTAGATGGAGGTTTCATAAGTAAGATTTGATTCGAAAATTATTTTGTATTTCATTAAGTAAATTTTTTTATTTAGATAAATAGAAAAATTATTTTGAACTTGTCTTTTTTAGTTCATATTATTTTAATATAGCTGCACACTCAAGAGGTTTCTTTTGAAAAATTTCATTGGTTGGAAGAGAAGAAATAAACAAATGTATTTGGCGATTTATGAATGAGAGTTATTTCGCTACCATAACATCAGCGTACGTCTAAAGGAAACGAACGGAAAAAGAAATGATAATTTAGAAATTGTGCCAAAAGATTTTGCGACATTATCATATTTGTTTTTAGAAGCTACCTATAGGTAGCGGAGTTTCAGTCAAAAATAATTCAGTAGATATGTCACCAGCACCTGATTTTAATGATGAAACTATCATTTTGAATCCACCACTTAATACGGTCGTTCTTAATGGTATTTCGTCATCTGATGAACTCGATCACAATACATTTAATGAACAACATATGGATCTTGGGTTAGTTTTCTTTTCTTATTTTTCTTTTTCTATATGATGATTTGTAATTAATAGTTCATTAACAATCGATTCAATGGAAAGCATTGATTTATA